CGCCAGGCCTGATCGCCTTGGCCGGGCTTCTTGCAGGTGGGCTGGCGGAGGAAGTGGACGAGCGGATGCTGCACGCGGCCTTCATCCCCTTCGGAGACCTCACCGACATCCAGATCCCGCTGGACTACGAGACCGGTGAGGGGCGGGGGGCGGGCTCGATCGCTGACATCCCCAACCTCCACCCTACGGCAGAAGAAAGAAAGGCTTCGCCCCGGGCTAAGAGCCGGCTGACCTCGGCGTTGCCCCGGTTGGAAGAATACAGAAGTCCAACCCCCTGCAGCCTACGCCATCTCAGACAGGCTCTTCTTAACAATTTTCAGTGATGGAGCACGCATAACATCTGGTGGCAAGCTGTTCCACTGGTTGGTTGTCCTCACTGTCAGGAAATTTCTCCTCAGTTCTAAGTTGCTTCTCTCCTTGATTAGTTTCCCCCCATTGCTTCTTGTTCTACCCTCAGGTGCCTTGGGGAATAGTTTGACTCCCTCTTGTTTGTGGCAGCCTCTGAGATTTTGGAAAACTACTATCATGTCTCCCCTAGTCTTCCTTTTTTCCTTTTAAGCTGATACATGTTTTTTTCTTTAACTTCCTGTTAACATAGCTATGTTGAAATACATTTTCATTAATATTTTGCAAACTTTAGGCATTGTATATAAAGGAAAAAATACATTTTCAAATTTTAGATTAAAACTTTTAATTACAAACATGAGAAAGATGAAAATCCATCTTAATTCCAGTTGACTGAAGTTTATGTCACTCCTTCCAGCTTGTCTTCATGGAATAAAATATTTTTCTTCTCTGGAATGCTTGTTTAGTTGTTATAAGCTTCTCTTTTTCTCAAGCTTGCCTCAACCTTGTTAATATCCATAAGGGTTAGGGTTAGGGTTGTCCTTTAAAAACTTGCTAATTTTCTTGGAGCTGCACTTTCAATTGTGTTGGGAGGCTTCTATTTAAACCATCACAATAAAAATTGTTCTAGGCCCAGTACTCTTCAGGTTTTACACTTAGGCAGGAAAAACCAAAAGTACAAGTACAGATTAGGCCAGGGGTCGGCAAATTTAAACACTCAAAGAGCCATTTGGACCCGTTTGCCACAGAAAAGAAAACACCGGGAGCCACAAAGATCCTAACTGGAAGCCCCCTGTTCAATTCTGGAGCTGACCGGAAGTTCAGTTTCCCTACCATAGAATCTCCTAGCGCGGCATACTTTTTCCTCTACCTGTCATAACCGAAAGCCCTATCAATTGTGGAGACAACTGGAAAACCCTTCCCTTACCATAGAATCTTCTCCTGGTGCACTGCGCTTCTCCCCCCGGAAGCTCCTCTCAAAATTGTGGTGCCAACCGGTGACGGAGCCGCAGCAGAGGGAGGAAAGAGCCACATGCGGCTCCAGAGCCACAGTTTGCTGACCCCTGGATTAGGTGAAAGCTGACTCAAAAACGTCACTGTGAGAGGGGCCTTGGAGTCACTTAAACAGGAGCCAGCAGTGTGCAGCAGTAGCCAAAAAAGCTAATACAATCCTTGGCTGTATAACCATAGAATGTCATAGAAAATCACGTGAAGTATTAGAACCGCTTTATAAAGCCTTAGTAAGGCCACACCTGTTTTGGTCACCACATTACAAAAAACAAATGTTGAGACTTTTGCAAAAAGTGCAAAGAAGAGCAACTAAGATGGTTATAGATCTGGAGACAAAAACACGAAGATTTGGGTTTGGCTAGCTAGAGAAAAGAAGGACTAGGCGGGATATGATAGCAGTATGCCAGGATTTGAGGGGACTAACCAAGGAGAGAAGCAACCTGGAATTAAGGAGAAACTGCTTAACAGTGTGGACAATTAACCAGTAGAACAGTTTGCCTTCAGAAACTCTGGGTGCTTCATTACTGGAGGTTTTTAAGCAGAGATCAAATAGTCACTTGTGTGAATCCTGTTTGAGCAGGGGTTTGGACTAGAAGACCTCAAAGGTCCCCTCCAGCTCTATTCTGATTGAGGTTGGAAAGGAGATTGTAGAAACTTGGATTGGGCTAAGTAAAAGTCAGGTTGGGCTTTGTGTATGCTCCAGGATAGAAACTAGTTGGAGCACAGCACTGCTCTTGTGCCCTTGTAACAGGCGGGGTGACGAGGAGATGGGGACAGCTAGGTGGGAGTGTCAAAATGATGCAGCTGCTGTCTCAACTTTTCCCACCTCAGACACCCATCTTTCTTTGTGAAAAGTCCAAAAAGTTTCAGTTGATCTCCATATCGAGATGAATATTGAGGCCTGTTTCCTCAAACGCTGATGTTTGATGTTTCTCTTGTGTCTGCAGAAAAACATCGAGGCTTCGCTTTCATTGAATTTGAGCTGGCTGAGGTGAGACAGGAAGGGCATTTTCAAAGTTTCTTCATCCTTTCTCCCCCTGTTTGGGGGAGGGTGGGGAGGGTGAATCCCTGAACTCTTGGAGGGATTGCACGGAATCTATTTGGGCAGGTGACATCTCTGGAAACTGCATTGTTCAATTATCAGAGCATGGATATGTCTGAAGGCCAATTTTGCCCAGTTTTCCCAATGGGATCTAGTTTGAGAAGGTGCTTCCAAGCTGGAAAATAATGTTTCCAACCACTTCCACCTTTGGCATTCTTCAAACTTTAGCATGTTTCTTTGCTACCAAAATTTCAAGCAGTGCACCAGCGAGGATTGAAAGCTTGCTTGGTAAAAGGTTTCCGTAGACCTAGCAAGTTTTCTAGGACCGTTTGCATGCTTCATCCATCTCTTGGCCAGATTATTTCTCTCAGTGCAGTACTTCTTGTCATGACCACACCAAAGGAGGAAGAGTGATGTAAGGGAACATTTTGCCTGAAATGATTCCGCTTCTTTTTTTTTTTAGGATGCTGCAGCTGCTATTGACAACATGGTAGGTTTATCTTTAAATCTTTATTTCATTTTTCAGCAGTTTGAAAGGTTTTCTTTCTTTCTTCCCAAATGGTTAAGATCATTAGAGGAAACTGAGCCTTTCTCAGTTTGTTTCTTTGTTTTGTGAGAAACAGCATGTCTTTCTCCTTGGCTTCCAAAGCTCCTTTCAGGAAGCCATGGAAGACAAAAGGCTTGGTGACTCTTTGCTTTCAGCTTCAGGAGGATTAAATGCTTCCACTTGTTGGGCAGAAGTCTCTTTGCCCCCATAAGGGATCCTTCCATGGGGCCAGAGGGAAGTTGAAGTGGTGGAGGCAGATTATATCAATCTGGGTGCTAATCAGTGGTGGGTTCCGGGGCTAGTGGCATCCACATGGACGTGCGCAGTGCGTGCATGCATCTTAACGCTTCCACGAGCCACTGCGATGCTCCAGCTGCTCAGCGGAGCATCGCGCAGGCACTGTACGCAACGTGCACGGAAGCGCAGAATCCTTAAAAGACAGGTAAGGAGCTTGGGCAGGCAGATGGGCCCTCCGGAGCACTGTACCGGAATGGTATCCAGTGCTCCGGGTGGGCTCCAGTACGCCCATACCTGGGCATACCCGCCTGCAACCCACCATTGGTGCTAATGCACTGGAATAAGATTCAAGAAGATTGTTGCAGGACACAGAACACAGCATTGATACTGAGCTGAATTCCCTGGCAAGAGGAATAGAACAAAACAGAGAAACCGAGTTGGAAGGTACCCTGGAGGTCTTCTAGTCCAACCCCCTGCTCAAGCAGGAGACCCTATACCAGTGATGGTTAAGCTTTTCGGCACCGAGTGACAAAACTGGAGCACATGCACACACCAGAGCGCTGGAACCCAGAAGAGAGCAGCTGGCCCGCCTGTGACAGAACCCGGAAGAGCAGTTGGCGATGGCACATGTGCTCACAGAGAAAGCACGTATGCCATGGGTTTGTCATCACAGCCCTATACCGTTCTGGATAAGGGCTGCAATCTCTTCTAAAAAGCCTCCAGTCGAAAGTAATGGCGTCCCTCCTGCTTCCCTTCTCCATTTAGAACGAATCTGAGCTCTTTGGGAGGACTATCCGTGTCAACCTGGCCAAGCCAATGAGGATCAAAGAAGGCTCCTCCCGTCCAGGTGAGCAGCAGAATTCAAGGTCATAAGGGATCTCCGGCCCCTAGACCTTAGGCTTGTTTTGAGGGAAGTCCTCCAGCTTTTAAGTGGATTTGGTGCTCAGATTTGAAACTCCCTGAATCTTTTCTGTTTTTCCATGACAGTCTGGTCAGATGATGATTGGCTGAAGAAATTTTCGGGAAAGACACTTGAGGAGAATTTGGAAGAAGGGGGAGCGGTGGCAGCCCAGTCAGAGGTTCAGGAGGTACAGAGGTCACGTGGCCCCAAGTAATGTCGGTCTCCCAAGATGCTCAGCTCCTCTTAAGACCTTTTTGGGAGCTACTCATAATAAGTTTGCATAAATGTGGGCTTCTGTGAGATGGGCACAAATTTCGTCTGCAAAGCCTCCATGGTTGTACATGAGCATGTGGTTGCAGCATTTAGCGTTATTCTGCATTTTTTCCAGATGCAAAAATGGCATATATTTTCCAGCCAGCGACTCTGGAGCAAGGGGCGAGCCAAGGAGAGTGACCTCTCCAGAATCGCCCACTAATTTAACAACTGGAATTGAATTTGGATCTTTCCAATCCGTTATTTAGCTGTGTAGCCATTGCAACACTGGTTCTCATCTCATCCCCTTCTCAGATGCCTTCTTTCAAGCAGATGAAGGAGGAGGACGGCTCATAGATAGCCATCTTCCAAAATCATGGAAGACGTTCTGTTTCTCTTCTTTTAGGGGGAACCACCAGTGAAAAAATCCAGGACCAACCCCCAGGTTTACATGGACATCAAGATTGGAAATAAACCTGCAGGTCGATTGCATATTCTCTTGCGGTCAGATATTGTCCCGATGACCACTGGTAAGCAGCAAAGGAATCCATTGTGCTTGATGGGAACCTTTTTCAAGTTGGTCTTGTGTTATTGGAACTTGCAGTGCTAAGTCACTATCCAGAATTTGGCAGGCTGTCCTGTTGTTAAGAGACAGAAAAATTCAGACCTCTTTTCTCCAGTGACAGCCTTCCTCACCCTGGACCTCTCCAGGACTGGCTTTGTTGTGACCAACGTGCCTGGAGATTCTCTTGGCTCAAGAGTTGTAGTCTGGGGATTGCCAGGTTGGAGAAAATTGTTCCTTGTGCTGGGCAGATGTGTTGGTCATAATGGTGTAATGGAAGCCACATCATTCCTGGAGAGGGCAAAGACAGCAAATCAAGAAATAGGGTTGCATCATCAAATGCATGCCAGTTCCTCTGTTTCTGTGCCACAAGTGAGCCCGCTTAAAAGCACAGATTTTCACTTTTAAGAGTTTTGTTTTCATCACAAAATTTCCTAAGCCTAGTCTTGTGGTGAAAACCTCAAAATTGTTTCTGTTCTAAGAGTTCTGATCTGTCCCAGACTTGTAGCAATATTTTTTGCACCTTGATAAAGACCAAAGGATGTGGCTTTCCTTGCTTCTTTTCTAAATTTACAGGATTTGTGTTGAAGTGATTGTTCAGCACATTTTTCTCCATTTCTGTACATGTTGGATGCTTGAAGGTTTTTAAAATACGAGTGCAGTAGCTTGGAGCTTTAAGTGCATAGTGTATAGTCATTTTGTAGAATTACTGCTGCAAAAATGTATGATTTTCAATTAGAATTACTTCATTAAATGCCACAAATTGTAATTTATCACCTGTATGTTCATAACTCTTTTACTGGACCAAGCCCTTAGAAGATAGAGCTAAAGATCGAGGCAGAAAGATCAAACTTGAAACAAAGATACAATGCATTTAAGCAGGGGAAGGCTGGAGTTGAGATGTGGTGCTGCCCTCTGGATCCCATGGCAGCAGTTGAAACAATTGGAATTCAAGAAAGTAACAGTAATAACAGAGATTACACCAATTGTAACTGATTTTTAACTGTTGCCCTGACCCCATTTTTAAGTGGGATGATATTCTAACAAGCACCACCTGTTAAAACACCACTCTTCCCCTTTGCCATGTCTGTTGCTTCATTGCCCAACTTGGCCTCTAATTTGCAGAGAATTTCCGCTGTCTTTGCACGCACGAGAAAGGCTTCGGATTTAAGGGAAGCAGCTTTCACCGAATTATCCCCCAGTTCATGTGCCAGGCTGGAGATTTCACCAACCACAACGGTACCGGTGGGAAGTCTATCTATGGGAAGAAGTTTGATGATGAAAACTTTATTCTGAAGCACACAGCGCCAGGTAGAGTATGGCAGGGCAGCTGAAAAAGTGGGTCATCCAGGTGCTTGGCACCCCAGTCCAAGTGGGGTGCTGCCGCGTCTGTTATCCCAACGTGCCAAGGACACCAAGTCCTCTTCCTTTCATCCTTCACTTCTGCATGGATCAAGTGCCGAGCAGCCCTGCCTCCGGGAGGCGTTGCAAAGTGGTGGGGGACACAATGTCCATGTGTCTCTCCAGGTTTGCTCTCCATGGCCAATTCTGGTCCCAACACTAATGGCTCCCAGTTTTTTATCACTTGCGACAAGACTGACTGGCTGGATGGGAAACATGTGGTCTTCGGAGAGGTTACTGAAGGAATGGATGTGATGCGACAGATTGAGGTGAGGGTGAGCCTTTGTGGGTGAATGGCACCTGGCTTTGCCTCTCTCCTTTCCACATCTCATGTCTCTCTTCCTCCGAAGGCTCAAGGCAGCAAAGACGGGAAACCAAAGCAAAAAGTCATCATCTCTGATTGTGGTGAATTCATCTGAAAGTGGCCGCAAGCAGACGCTGGGTGGGAATACCGGATAACAGGAGAAGCCCAAGCCCAGCTTCACTTCGCTCTGGATGAAAACCAGGATACTTTTCTAACCACTCAGTCCAAGTCTATTATGTGTCCAGATCTGTAAAACTGTTAGAGATTTCTTTTGTACAGAATTTTTCTTTCTATAAAATTCATGCATTTTTTACAACAGATCCGCCTTTTAATTTCCCATAATTACCTGTTTACTTTGAATTTTTTACTCCTTTAGCAATGAGGTGCAACCTTTTTCAATCTGAGTTTTCCATTTCCTTGCATGACGAAGGTCAACATATCCATATTTCCCAGGTGAGATGGGTGTGTTTGCACATGGCAAGAAACCATGTGCTGCGCTTTCTGTTTCAGGAAAACCAGCTTTCATTTTTTCTTTTCATCATGAAAGATGCAAACTGCAGCTGAGGCTAATGGTGCCATTTGTCTTTTTGCATCAACTGGAACCACAGCAGCTGGTTGGCACAACAAGAAAATGACATTAGAACAAAAAGGGCCCGATTAGCTGCTCTTGAGGGGAGGAAGAAAGCCCTCGGTCTGAAGCTTCTAGTTCTTCATGTTACTTAAATGTGGATGAATTTTCCAGGGAAACACTCCAGAATAAATTAAACAATATCCATGGCAGGAAGATTCCAATAAGGTCTTCTACTGAAATTGTACCATTGATAGTAAAATTAACAGCAATTTCAGCAGTAGTGCAGTTAAGGGTCAGAAGTACCAAGTGGCTGGACAAGAAGACCCACCCTTTGGCAAGGGCCTCCATTTCTTGACCTGCCTCTCCAACCCACCCCTCCCCAGACCCAATAAGCCTGGTGGCTGCAGGCAGCAGAAGAGCAGCATAAGGTACCCTGAAAAGACTCCCACTGTACCTCACCCCTGGGGCCACATTTTCTAGTGGGGAAATAGGCTCATTCCATGGCAGATGGAAGAGGCGGAAGGGAAACTGGCGAGATACTTGAAGCGACCCAGCAGCTGCGACATACAGTGGACACAAGGTGGAGCAGACAGCACATGCACGCACACATACACGGATATCCAAAGCCTGACATAGAAGCAGCCCAGCCCCAAAGAAGGCACACCAGAAAAGCAGCCTTTGGGTATGTTCTTTTGGATAGATGGAGATGCTTGGATCCTGCTCTTCCCTCCCTTTGGAGCTGCTGCTGGCTGCAGGGATTGGTAAGAGAGTCAATAGGGCCAGGGGCTCTATTAGCCCCTGCGGCTAGTCAGTTTGTTTCTGGGAGGACTAGGCAGACAGCCAGGGACCACTGATGAGTTTGATGAGTTCCAAGGATAGGGAGCTGGGTGGGGGTGTCCATCAAAATAGTCCCAATGTCCAGTTGGAGCCCTCCCCTTTTATAAGTGTTGCAAATATGGCACATTGGAGGCAGAACCTCCAATCACACAGTGATGAGAGCCATCTTGACTCATTTCACAGACAGTCTTGCTGGGTGGAGATGGTTCAACCTCATCCAAGGCTGGGCCTATTGCAGTAAATGCTGATAGCAGCAACTGAAAAGCTTCTGCTGCTCATCCAGGTTTCTGCAGCCCAGGTTTGGGCTTAAATATCTTCCCCTTGGGAAAGATATTTCAACTTCTTGTTTGGGTTCCTCTAACACAGAGGTGTCAACTCAAGTCCCACAGGTCGGATCTGACCCATGGGGTGTTTAGATCTGGAAACAGTGAAGGACTGACCCATGGTGCTTCTTGTCAGTGAAAATGGAGCTTGGGAAAATAGAGCTGTGTGCGTGGCCCTCCTGCAGTCCTCTGCCAGTGAAAATGGAGCCTGAGGAGGCTGTCGCAGCTGAAAATAGGACCTCAATGAGTGACATCATGCTGGTTGAGCTGAAGTAAGTGGTCAAAACAGGAGCTTAACACTAGAAGTTTTAAATAGAAACATTAGAGAAGGAAAAGACATAAAAGGAATGAAAATTAAAAAGGAAGAATATAAATTGCAAGCATTTGCAGATAACTTGGTCTTCTAGAGGATCCACTAGAAATTGAACCTAAATTGATAGAAAAAATAGAGGATAGCAATAGCAAAAGCAGTTAGACATATACCGCTTCATAGGGCTTTCAGCCCTCTCTAAGCGGTTTACAGAGTCAGCATATTTCCCCCAACAACAATCCGGGTCCCCATTTTACCCACCTCGGAAGGATGGAAGGCTGAGTCAACCCTGAGCCGGTGAGATTTGAAC